TGTGTCCCTCCATTCCTCGGCCCGCCTCTGTGTTCGCTTCCGAATCAAGCCACTTCCAAGAAGTCGGGCAGGCTGCTGGGCCGCCAGCCTGGCCCTTTGTGATGGGATGGCTCCCCGTAGCCTGCTGTGGGGGCCTGGCCTAGTTCCAGGCTGGCCAGACTGCGGTGAGCCCTGCAACACAGCGAGCGTGCCCTGTGCTGGTTGGGACGGGTGTCCGGCATGCAGCTCCCCCACCCGCCGCACCGCTCCTTGAAGCAGCAGTCTGTTTGAGCTGCTGGCACGTGGCACTGCTCGTCGGGTGGGCTGGACACTGCCCGACACGTGGCACCAGGCAGCTGGAGCGCGGGCAGAGGTAGGAGGCTATGGGGTACCCACACGCTGACCCAGCGCAGGGAGCTCTGATGATGGCCCACCCCTAGGCCGTGGGGGTCTGGAGTGGGACCCCCTTAGTGCTTGGGGTGCAAAGAACAGCCGCAGCCATGCCTCTCTGCGGGGCTCCTGTGTGACCACTTGGGTCAGGATCCTGCCTATAGCCGGCATGAGATAAGCTGGGTGCCACACAGGAGTTGGACCACCCTCTTGGAAGGACTAGGGCGTGGTCAGATGTGTCTCCCGGGCCGTGTCAGCCACGGGCTGGAAGTGAGACCTCAGTGGGGCGGTGAGGTGCTGGGCCCACCGGCCGCTGGGCGGCCCCTGGGACGTGTGGCCTGAGGGCTTGGGTTTGGGATGCTGCAGAGGCCGTCAGGCGGGTTCCGGGGAGCGAGAGAACCACAGCTCTGTGCTTCCCGGGGGTCTGCGTGTTGGGCTCGGGCGATGGACGTGCAGCTCACGTGGCGTCCTATGTGACAGGCCCTGCTCTAGATCTCTGTCTTGGTGACATTGACGTCGCATCGCAGGAGAGAGACCAGGATGAGCAAGAGGGCCCCGACCTGGGGCTGACAGGTATGACGCGTGTGGCCCAACCTGGGGGCTGTGGTCTGGGGGCGCCCTGTGCTGCTCAGTGCCACGTGGTCCTCACCACCGGGCTCCAAGCGCTTCCCCTGACCCAGGGCGCAGCAGTGGTGGTCGATGGTGCCGACCAGAGGCAGATGGCCTCCTGCCTCCACCAGCGTGAGGCTAGCCTCCGCCGGCCCTCAGCCTGCCTCCCTCACACCTCACAGCGGCGTGGGAGCCGTTACCGCCGTGCACGGTGTCGCTCCCTGCGGCCAGCGTTCACCTGTCCTGCCCTTGAGGGAGAGGCCACATCGGGCCCCTCACCGTGCCGGCCTTGTGCCAGTGGCCAGGTTGGCCAGACAGGACCCGGGACATCTGGCCTCCGCTGGGACCCTCGAGGGCACGTGTGGCAGCTGTGTGGTGGCAGTGCCGGCCGCTGCTCCAGCTCCCAGGCAGGCGCCCCAGAAGGCCTCAGTCACCTGGTTCCCTCCTGTCCCTCCAGGTCCAGGTCCACAGTCTCTGGCGGGCTCGGCACCAGTCACCATCCCGGGCTCACTGCCCCGTTCCCCGTCCCTGCCCTCGTCCTCGTCCCTGTCTGCCTCCCCCCTCAGCTCGCTCTCCCAGTCCCTGGCGGGGCCACCTGTCTGCTCAGCCATGACGCCCCCACATCAGCCACCCCCCCGGTCAGAGCCGGGCACTCTGGGCTCCTCGGCCTCATCCTACAGCTCCTTGGGTGAGTGTCTTCGGTGACAACCCCCCTGCGTGTCCCTGAGCATAGGGTGCCTCCCCTCAGAGGCTGGGCCTGGGGGGTGGCCCTGGCCTGCCCTAGGGCTCTTGAGCGAGGCACCCACTGCCCCTCTGACCAGCATCTTGACAGCCGAGTAAACTGAGGCTCAGAGCCACTGTCCCTTGGTTTAAACTCAGTGGCTAGCCTCACCCACTGGGCGTGGGGCCGTGCTGGGACCAGCGCTCCCCAGGCCTGGCAAGCACGGCTGTGTCACCACCTGCTCTGCACTCAGGTCTGAGCAGCGTCTCTGGGAACGTCTGGGACTTCGTTTCTGGCAGCTTTTCACCCAGCCCATCCCCCATCCTGAACACCAACCCCAGTCCAGGCAGCGCCGAGCTGGCGCGGGTCCGGCGGCAGCTGGACAAGGCCAAGAGGAAGATCCGGCAGTGGGAGGAGTCCTGGCAGCAGGTGGCGCAGGTGAGCAGGCTGGTGGCCTGGGGTGCCGGGGTGTGTGGGTGGGGACAGATGCCACCTGCATGGACCCCCTGGGTTACAGGCCTGTGACGCATGGCAGCGCGAGGCCCAGGAGGCCAAAGAGCGGGCCCGAGTCGCCGACAGCGACAGGCAGCTGGCCCTGCGGAGGAAGGAGGAGGTGGAGGCCCGGGTCCGGCAGCTGCAGGACGAGTTGGGGGGCCTGGGCGTGTCTTCGCTGCCTGGGCTGCGCAGCTGCCCCGACGTGGGCACCATCCCTCTGCAGCAGCTGCACTCACTGCAGAGCCAGCTGCGCCTCGACCTGGAGGCCGTGGACGGGGTGAGTCCTGTGTGCCCCCAGGGTGGAGGGCAGGGACCCACCCCCGCTGCGCCCTTTCAGCCTCACCTTCACCCCAGTGCCTTGGGGTGCTCTCCCGTCGGGGTCAGGGCTGGCCCACCCCTCCTGCTAGCAGAGGCTGCGCCCCGCGGAGAGGCCAGCCCATCCCGGTGCGCGGCTGCTCCCGGACCCCCACCTCCGCGTCTTCTCAGCACAGTACAGGAGCTGCTATACGCTTGGCTAGGGACGCCCCAGCCCTGCCCTCACTAGCTCAGAGCCTCCACATGGCCCACCGCTGCTTGGCTCCAAGGTCTCTTCCCTCCAGGAACCAGGGGCTCAGGGCTTCAAGGCCCGCCTAGGCCTCTGCACGATCTTGTAGCCAGTACCGTAGCCCTGCCCCATACTCGGTGGCCTTCTGAGTGGCTCCCCAGGGCCTCCTGGGCCTTCCTCTCCCTCTCTGTCCGGGAAGTATTGCTTTGGGTCGAGTCTTGGTGCCGATGGTGCTGGGAGGGGCCGTTTAGCCCAGCAGCGCCCACCTGCCCACAGGTGATCTTCCAGCTCCGGGCTAAGCAGTGCGCGGCCTGCCAGGACCGGGCCCACGGCGCCGTCCTGCAGCCCTGCCAGCACCGTGCCCTCTGTGAGCTGTGTGCAGCCAGCACGCCTGAGTGCCCCTGCTGCAAGGGCCAGCCCCTCCCATGGTGACCCAGGCTGACGCCCGCCTCCTGGGAGCACTGCCTGAGGCTGCCACGGTCGTGCAATGGAGCTCCATCACACTGCTGCCATCTGGACCGAGGCTCCACCTGCCGGCCCTCCTGTCATCGTTACCTACCGTGGGCCACCGGGTCTCAAGGTATTCTCAAAAACTAAAAGCAAACCCGCTGAGCCTGCCTGCCCTCCCCACAGCGCTGCACCTGCGGGCTGGGCAGGTACTTCCTCACTGTGGCCTGCAGCCCACAGGCCAGGCCACGGGCAGGGGTCTCGTCAAAGCCCCTAGTAACCGAGGGGCTGTTAGACGTGGTCACTCTAAGCTGCTCTCTCCGAGTCCGTCTCTGATGCGCGGCCCACGAAGCCGTGCGTGCCGTGAAGCCCGCTTCCTGGCAGCTCGCTGCGCGCTCCTACACGAACGTGAGGTCCCTGCTCTGAAGCCAGTTCTTACAGGACGAGCCCCTGCCCCGTAGCGAGGAGGAACTAGGACTCCAGGCCCCACGGGGACCGTCAGCAGTGTCGTGAGCCGTGATTGAGCCGCATCCATGGAGATGGTGCTAGGAAACGAGCGGGTTCTTGACATGCACGCATCCCTGGAGCTTCGCATCCCCACTGTGCTGGCCACGCAACTACACCCACGGCCACACTTCTAAGTGCCTGTACCTCGCAAAGCAGCAGGAGCCGACCGTCGGCTTTACTTCCTCCGACTGCCAGCCGCAGGGTGGTGTCGGGTCTGGGGCCGGCTCTGTAGCCACGCCGAGGCCTGCTGGCTCTGGGGGCAGCAGTGCTGACACCCCGATGCCAGGGGGCTGTGACCGGGAGACTGGCCTCAGCTGCTGATGGGCAAGATGCCAGTCCTTGAGGGGCAGTCCCAGCCAACACCGTCACCTGGCCTGTGTGTGTCATCCACATCCGTGAGGCCAGTGGGGGTAAGCCAAGGGCCTGACCCGAGGCAGCTTGGTGGCCTCAGATGTGCCGCAGCGCCGGCGAGTGCGCAGCCTCCAGCCCCCTGCTGGAACGTGACTGTTTCATGGGACTGGCACCTTCTCTGGTGGTCGGGATCGGACCTTTCTCTGGCAGCCCGCAGTCGTGGCAGGCGCCACCGTCCCCAGCCTCGGTTGGACGAGGTGGGCCTGGGTCACCTCCAGGTACAAGAGCCAGCTCGGGCCCACCTGGCCTTGCAGCGAGCACAGGCCTTCTAGCCCACCTGTAGCTCTGCCGAAGACTTGAAGAGCAGTTTAACTTACGTGCCTGCTCAGACTTCTTAGTGACCAAGTTCGAATGTATCCAATACAGACTTAGGTTTTTAAGGTAAGACAAACTCGTGGGAAAATGTATTATTCTAAGGAAGCGGGTCTGAGCACCCCGCAGCTCGTCTGCTCCTGAAGGTAGCTAGCTCGGTTCTGTCGGGCTCTCCCACACGGCCCGTTGGCTCGTCCTCAGCAGTCTTTGTGCCGCTGCCCCGTTCCCCCCTGCATTTGTGTCCTGTCCATGTACCTGTCTACCAGGTCAGGTCTGCCATGGACACTTAGCCTAGACGTTTCCAGATCACAGCTGGGGCCAGGCTCTGGGCCTGCCTGTAAGCTCCTGGCCGGCGTTCGCTGTGGAGCCCAGCCACTGCACTGGAGCCTGCCCCAGGGTGAGCACTCAGGCCGGGCTGCCAGACGTGCCGTGACAGTGAGGGGGGCCCTGCCCCAGGGTGCGCTACCTCTTCTCAGGACCAGACTCCTGGGCCCAGAACTGCAACAAGACAGGCTGCCTGTCTGGCCTTCTGAGGGCTACAGCCCAGTGATCCCAGGTGACCAGCGAGAAGCAGTGGGCAGGAAGCAGCAGCAGGCCCCCTGCAGCCCGGCCGCCGTCCCACACCTGTCCGCCTCCGCCCCGTGCTGACGTCTGCATTGGTGCCCTCACCCTGCAGGTGCCTCACCTGGACGGCCACAGGAGCCCTGAGTGTGCGTGTGTTGGATAAGGGTGTTTTTGAGCGGAGTTTTCTTACCCCAAGGAGGCACTGTTTATAAGTCATAAGCATTCACTCTAGTGAGTTGTTTGGAGTTAACACTTGTTAAAGTTTTTACACTATGACATTTATGGAGTGCTTTACAGAATTCATGGAATTATTTTTGTCAATATGAGAACTCATTAAAATTCTGAGCACGACAAAGACTAGCCTCTAGTCCCTGAGAGTGGCCTGCCAGTACCAGATGGCCACGGCTGTCGTACACTGGACACCGAGGTTCTGCTTCTCGTGCTGCTCGGCTGCCAACTCCAGGTCACACAGTCGCACGCAGCCCTGGCTCGGCACGTGGCTGCTCTGGGATCCCGGCTGGGGGTGCCCTGTGGCCCACGGGTTCAGAGCTAAGGGTTTCTGTCAGAACACAATGGTGGGGGGACCAGCAGTAAGTGTAATGGCTATATCGCTGGACTCCCATGTAGTAGACTGTGGTTCAAGTCCCAGACCCGGTGGCTTACACTCACACCAGGCGCATGTGCGTGCGTGCCCAAGATCCCGAGGAGAATGGAGGAGACGGGATTGCGGCGTGGCCATCCCCCCTGGGGGATGAGTTCATGAGTTCAGACTTCCTGACTTTCTGGTGAGTGCATGTGCCCTATAGCTGGCCCTGCAGACACCCTACCGCCCCCCCACCCGTCGTACCTGTGGGGCTAGTGTAGAGGATGCCGTGCTGGCTCAGCAGACTCTTCAGCCGCCTGGTCTCCTTGGACAGCTCCTCATGTGCCTGGGAAGAGTTCAGGGGCGTCAGCAGCGTGGGGCGACGGCCGCCCTGCCTGGGCCTCACCACTCCCACCTTTCTGCAGTTCTCCAGGGTCTCCAGCCCTTGGCCCTTAGGGTCACCTTCCTGCTGGGCAGGCTCCTTCTCTCCTGGGGTCTTCAAATAGCCAGCGTCCTCAAAGAGCGCCCTCAACAGCTTCTCGTAGCCCTGGAGAGGACGACGCAGCGGGCAGTGGGCTCCCGGCTAGGCTGGCTGCCTGGGGGCCCCTGAGCCTGGCTCACCTGGGGGGTGATTAGCTCGTCCGCCAGGTCCTGCTCCAGCTGGTCCCAGCGCCGTTGCAAGGGCTCTGGCAGGACCGGGTACACTAGGAACAGCGCGGACTCAGCCACTGCCAGCCCGGCGGCCAGCCCCTCCGCTCCACACCCTGCGGCCCCAGCCCCCTACCTAACAAGGAGTGGGGGTGGCAGACGAGGGGGGTCTCAAAGGTCAGGGCGTAGACACAGGTGCTGGGCTCCGACACGTGGGCCAGTCGGTTGTGTTTCCCGCAGGTCAGTTCCACCTGGGGGTGCATCCCAGCAGGTGGGGGGTGAGGGCCCCAACTCCGCTCCCCGCAGGCCCCACCCCAGCAGCCCCACCTTGCTCTGCCGGCTCCGAGAACGGCAGGAGTCGCCATCCCTCATCCACATGGCCACGAAGGTGTTGTTGGCGATCTCCCACTCCTGCCAGATGCTGGGGGGGGGCAGGCCGTGGGGAGGAGGGGGGCTGGGGGCACCTGACGGCCTTCTGTGCCCGCCCCACGCACTAGCTGCTCACCCGAGGACCCCGCTGTACGCGTTCCAGCGGAAGGTCTGCTCGTGCTGCGTCACGTTGTGGAACAGGCAGAGCTCGTACTTGTACCTGGGGACGCAGCAGGTCAGGGGGGCCCAGCCACGCCCAGCCCGCGGGGCGCCCTGCACTCACGTGGACTCCACCAGGCTGAAGCACTTGCCGGACAGCCCAGAGAGCTGCGCAGGCCCTGGGGAAGGGAGTGCGGACGTGACCAGGATGCCAGGGGGGAGCACAGAGCTCACCCGCATGGAGGCCAGAGCCCAAGGCTCCCAGCAGCCACCCTGGAACAGGCTGGGTGGCACGTGGACCAGTGGCCATGGTCAGGTCTGCCCGGTCCTGCCCACACTCTGGGTGGACACAGAGCCAGACTCGGGAGGCTCCGGAAAGAGCTGAGGCCAGGGAACTAGCAGTTAGCATAATGGCTATGTCGCTGGACTCTCACGTAGTCGACCATGGTTCGTGTCCTGGACCTGGTGGCTAAAAACTCATGCTGGGCGCGTGTGCGTGCGTGCCCAAGATCCCGAGAGGAGAAGGGAATGTGGCGTGGCCATCCCCCCAGGGGAGGTGTCTTCTCGCTATCTCTGTCTTTCTCTGTCTTTCTGGTGAACACACATGCCCAAACCTCTCAAAAAATAAAAAATAAAAATAAAAAAGACATGAGACCGGGACAGCTGCTGGCCTGCGTGCGCCTGCTGGCGGAGGCTGGCAGGGGACAGCGTGAAGACAGGAGCTTGGGGGCCAGCAGATGGCATGGTGGAGGGTGCTGGACCCCCACATGGCCGACCATGGTTCTAGTCCCAGACCTGGCGGCCTGCCTTCTCACTTTTCTTGCTCTGTCCCTCTCTGGTCAAAATATAAAAATAAAAATGAATTAAAAAAGGAGCATGAAGACAGGGTGAGAACCCACATCCAGGGAGAAGGCCCTCCAGGAGCGAGGGACAGCACTGCCGAGGGCCAACAGGTGGCAAGGGCAGCCGGCCCCACATCGCTGGCTGCTCAGTTAGAGTCTGAGACCTCGCCGCTGGAAAATCACCGGGCTGCCGTGTCATGCCCAGTCCCGAGTAGAGGAGCAGGGGCTGCGGCATGGCCACCCCGGGGGGGTGACTTCTCTCACACACACTCTATGCCAAGCTAAAGGAGACGTCGTCCTAGGTACGCAGGGCGAGGGCCAGTTCTTTAGCCACAGGCCTGCCCTAGGACACACCAAGCCGAGGAGGCTGGGCTGCAGGTCTCTGCTGAAGGCAGGCCGGGCACACACTGCCTGGGCCCGTGGTCTAAACACGAGTGAGCCTGAGTCACGGCTGGCTCCATGCACTCGAGCAGCCTGGCCCGGACCGAGGTGCCCCCTCCGCTTGTGCGTGTGCTCCATCATGTGAAGGAGAACCACCCAAAGGCCGAGCCACGACCTGGTGGTGAAGGGCCAGCCCCACGTAGCCAACCATGTGGTCTGAGAAGCAGGCCAGGTCACGGTCCCTTCTCAGGGTCCTGGATGCAGATGCGCACATACATGCACCTGGCTTGAGTTTGAAGCAGCTAGGTCTGGGACTCGAACCACAGTCGCCTACATGGGAGTCCAGCGATGGAACCATTACGCCACCTGCTGGTCCCGTTGACTGTCTTTACCAGTAATCACCCTACGCTGGTTGCAGCACATTCGGAAGGTGCGGGTGGCAAGGTGCCCCCTTCCATCAGTGCCCACTGCACGGGGCACACAGGCTTGCACTATGACCAGAGCGGCATGGAAGGGCGGGTCCCCCGCGTCACAGACCTGGGTGCTGTAGTAGCTCAGCCAGGCACCCACATCCCCAGTGCTGGGGCCAGACACGTTTTGGATTTGGGGTTTTCCAGATGCTGCACTCTGTGTGCACGTGAGATATCCTGGGGACTGGGCCCAAGTCCAAGCACAAAATCCACGCGTGTGTTGTACAAGCTGGGACACACAGACCAAGGCACCTCCACCTGGTCCCGTGGTGCCACATTCTGACCCGACCTCTCCATGGCGGCAGTCTGGGCCTTGCCACTAGCCACGTCGTGCCAGTACTCGAAGTCGCAGACCTGGGGCGTTTCAGACGCCACAGACCAGGTGGACGGTGACTACCTGGTGCCGGGCGCATTTGCCGTCAGCCCCACGTGCAGGCTCGGGCCAGACCCCTCACACACGGGGCCTCCGCGTCAACAGGACTAGAGGGGAGTACCAGCCCGCACTGGAGATGCTCGCACCCTGCTCCAGACGCGGGGGACAGGGGGCGCCGAAGAGCTGGACAGAAGGATGCGTGCACACCCAGCAGCCCGGCCTGCCGGCCCGAGGACAGCCTCAAACGCAGAGGCACTAGGTGGTCCAAATACCTTTCCTGGTTACAAACCAGGCCCGGAATCAGGAAAATAGTAAACAACAAATTCTAGGGCCAGCAGGTGGCATGGTGGTTGAGGCAATAAATTCCCATGTGGCTGACAACGGTTCAAGTCCTGGACCTGGTGGCTTGCTTTCTTCCCCCAAGTCTCTCTCTGGTGAGCACACGTGTCCTACAGCAAACTAAAAAAATAAAATTAAATCTTTTTAACCCTCCCACACTTTTTATTAAAATTATTTTTTATTTTATTTATTCATTTACTTATTTTATTTTGACCAGAGAGACACACAGAGAGAAAGTGAGAAAGCAAGCCACCAGGGCCAGGACTTGAACCATGGTTGGCCATGTGGGAATGTCCAGCGCCTCAACCACTGCACCAACTGCTGGTCCCCCCCACATTTTTTTTTCTTTTTTTGGAGAGGTTTTTGCTATAGGGCGCATGTGCTTGCCAGACAGAGAGAGAGAGAAAGTGAGAAATCTCCCCAGGGGTGGGATGGCCATGCCACAATCCCTTCTCCATTCTCCTCTCAGGATCTTGGGCACGCACACACAGCTACCGGGTACAGGACTTGAACCGTAGTCAACTACATGGGAGTCCAGCGACATAGCCATTACGCCTCCCACATTCTTGAGCAATGAATCAAAGAAAAAATCTCACATGAACCATGAAACACTAGGGCCTAGTGGGTTAAAGGGCCCAGGCACAGGTGGTCTGAGAACCGGGCACGTGTGCATGTATGCTCCAACCCTAACCAGGTGGGGAGGCGGCCAAGGGGCTCCCTGTCTGGTGAGCACGTGTCCTCAGGCAATGTCAGCAATACCTGTGGCGAGATACTCTCCAGAGATGACTTGTGGGCTTAGTAAATCCCTCCGCCACCTGTTTGTTCCCCGCCCTGTGCCCCGCCCGCTGCCAACTCGGGTCAGAGCTGCAGAGCACCTGGCCTTCCACCACGGTCCAGCCTCAGGGACCAGCTCTGCACCTTAAGGAACTAGAGGACAAGAGCCGCAGCGGGAAGAGAACCAGAGAAGACGAAAGCTCGGGCCCACTCTGGCCCACCCCTAAAACGCCAGGCAGTGGCGCCCTGTGGTCCCAGCTACTTGGGAGGCTGAGGTGGGAGGAGCCCCTCTCTCACACAAATAGGAAAAGAGAGTAAAACACCAAAGCTGGCAACCACGGTTCAAATCTCCAGCCCGGTCAACTTGACACGTGCCAGGCATGTGTGTGGGTGCTCAGGGTGACAGGCTGGAGGACTGGAGGGAGGGATCACGGCGTGACCAGATCCCACGGGGGTGCCCCACTCTTGCTCATGTGCACGCGCACACGATCGTGAATAAAGGATACAGGAGTGATGCAAAAATCCTGAACAAAATGCTAGAAACCGAATTCCCAGCACAGGAGGAGGTCTCCCCTGGGACGGAAGGGCGTTTCAGCCTGCCCGAACTGGGTGCTGAAACACCGGGGACGCAGGAGAGGAGAGCGCGGTGCACCGCCACGGACAAAACTCGCCACCCTTTCGTGATAAACACACTCAACAGACAAGAAACAGAAGGACGGGACCAGCAGTTAGCGTAATGCTATGTCGCTGGACTCCCACGTAGTCGACCACAGTTCGAGTCCCAGACCCGGTGGCTTAAACTCACGCCCGGGCGCATGTGTGTGCGTGCCCAAGATCCCGAGAGAATGGAGGAGAAGGGATTGTGGCGTGGCCACCCCCCCGGGGGGTGATTTCCTGCTTTCTCTCTGTCTGTTTCTGTCTGGCGAGCAAGCACACACACCCTATAGCAAAAACCTCTCGTTTACAAAACCCCTCAAAAAAAAAAAAAAAAAAAAAAAAAACAGAAGGACATGTCCTGGGGCTACCCCACAGTCCCAGGTTAAGGGGACTGCATTCCACACGGCTGATGGTGGTTCAAATCCTGGCCTCGGTGGTTTGAAAGACATGTTGGGCACGTGTAGGGGTGCCTAAAGTCCTGACAGGATGGAGACGGAGGACAGGGGACTGCACTGGCTGTGCCCCACTGAGGCAGCTTCTCCCTCTCCCTCCCTGTCTTTCGAGAGAGCACGCACCTTCAGGAAATCAACTTAGAGAAGCAGGGCGTTGTGCAGCACGATGAACCTGCATTTTTTTCGACCCTCCCGGTCAGGAGGGGACGAGTGCTCGCACCCCTCTGCCCAACACTGCACTGGACATCCCGGCCAGAGCAACTAGGCAAGAGAAAGGATCAGCAAGTGGCGTGGAGGTTAAGGTACTGGGTCCCACATGGCAGGCTGTGCAGTTCGAATCCTGGGCCCAGCAGTTTCAAATCACACAGGACGTGTATGCATGCCCGAAAGCACTGAGATGCTGGAGCAGAAGGGACAGTGGCATGGCCATCCGTTCTGGAGGTGACTCCTCATTCCCCTACTCTGGTGAGCGTACACGCCCGACAGCCAAAAAAAAAGGCAAAGCAAATAAAAAGCACCCAAATATGGGGCAGAATGGCCGCCCGCCTGCAGACGGCGTGGTCTTTTAACCCTGATCTGCCCCAGGGTGCGGGCCTTCTCAGTAGGGACGGGCGGCAGAGGAGGCGGCGGCCACGCCGCAGTCCTTTCTCCCCCATTTCTTCACTGAGGGTCTGGGGAGCACGCGCGTACAGCTGGAGTGTTGTCAGGGTGCCGCGTCTGGCCACCAAACGGGTGGGTGGGGGCACGGGGCCAGCCTGTCCCTTCTACTCAGAGTGCTTTCACCACTGAATGTCCACTCTCTTAGCCACACTTTCGGGACCCACCTTTGGGAAGCCACTCACAGGGGAGAGCCCTACAAGGGACATTCTCTGCAGCAACCTTTCTCCTCTTTTTTTTTTGGAGAGGTTTTTGCTATAGGGCACGTGCACTCGTCAGAAAGACAGACAGAAAGATAGCAAGAAATCACCCCCCAGGGGGATGGCCACGCCGCAATCCCTTCTCCTCTCAGGATCCTGGGTCCGCATGCACATGTGCGCAGCGTGAGTTTAAGCCACCGGGTCTGGGACTCGAACTGCAGTCGACTACATGGGAGTCCAACAACACAGCTATTACGCCAACTGCTGGCCCCACTTTCTCCTTTTCTATGACATTTCTTCTGAAAACCTTTTCCAGCTATCAGAGGCACGTGAGGGCGAAGGCCCCCAGTGGGGGTTGCACGATCCCATCTGCTCACCCCTCAGGCACAGGGGTTCCTGGAGCAAACCAACAGGGTGGGGTCTGTGGGATCCGCGCTCGGAACCGCGGGGGTCGCCCCACTCATGCGGTAGTTTACACTAAAACACTGAGCCGGCAGGTGGCGTGGTGGTTAAGGGCACTGGACTTCCACAGGGCCGACTGCAGTTCGAGTCCTAGACCTGGCAGCTAACCTTCTCACTCCTCCCCCCACCCCCTCCCCCTCTTTGGTCAAATTATAAATAAATACATAAAATTAAATAAAATAATTGTAAAAAAAAAAAGATTAGACCGCAGGGGAGGACTACAGCAGTCCCACAGGTGCCAGCGGCCAGGGGCAGTGCCAGCGGCCAGGGGCAGTGCGAGATGCTGTCCGGAGCCTGCAGTGCCCACAGCGGAGTGCAAGCAGGGACCGGGTTTGGGGCAGGAGAGGCAGCTCCCGGCTTATTCAGCGGGTAAAAGCTGAGACACGTGTCTGGAAGCCAGCACATGGAGCGGTGGAGGCCAGACCCCACAGAGCTGACAACCGGTTTGTGTCCAAAATCCAGAAAGGAAACCGTTGAAAGGACTGTGTCGCGCCCCCGCACCCCAGGGTGCATTCTCGCTTTCCCGGCTCTGCCTCCGGAGAGCACACGCGCCCTCCCCCTGTACCAGAAGTCTGCACAGGCAAACGCGGAGGGGTTGCGCCCGCCGCCCTGCTGCACTCGCAGGGGCACTCACCGGACACCGGCGACGGCTCGCGCTTGGGCTGGAGGCGACTGGTCTGCGGCAGGAACGGGTTGTTGAGCCTGCGACGGGGGAGCGGGCATGGGTATGGGCCAGGGCCAGGGCCAGGGCCTAGGGCCAGGGCCGCGCCTGCCCCGCCGGACGCACCAGGGCCGCTCACCCGACAGTGTCCGGCTACTTCACCACCTTCATCTTCCGGGTGGGGAGCCGGGGGTCGGCCACTGACCGCGCGCAGCGACCGCGAGCAGCAGGAGGACGAGCGCCAGCCGCGCCACCATAGCACCTCCGCCCGCCCGGCCGCGCGGTCACGTGGGCGTCGGTCAGGTCACGTGAGAGCTGGAGCAGGAACTGACGTCACGTGGAGACGGGATCGGGCCTCGGCGCCGACGCGTGCACTGACGCCCGCGCAGCTCCGTGGGCAGCCGCGCGCGGGCCCGGGCCGGGTGGCGCTGCCCTGCGCGCTGGCCATGTGGGACCTGGGCCACTGCGACCCGCGGCGATGCACCGGCCGCAAACTGGCCCGCCTGGGGCTGGTGCGCTGCCTGCGCCTGGGCCGCAGGTTCGGCGGCCTCGTGCTCAGCCCGGTGGGCGCCCAGTACGTGTCCCCTGCCGACAGGTAGGCGCCGGGTCTGCCCCACTGTCAAGTCCGTCTCCGGGGCTCCGCGGTTGCATTCCAAGTCTTCCGGGCCCTTTCCCCAGGGCAGTCTGGTGTGCCACCGCGGCCTGGGACGAACGTTAGTGGAGTGAATAAACGACACGCCCCCGAGTAGGGGCAGCTGCCTCCAAGCTTGCTCTGAGAGCTGCTTGGGGGTGTCCGGGAGTAGGGTGATGTCCTCTCACCCAGACGCATTCTGGCAGGCAGCTGGTGGCACAGTCTGGTGTCGCTGTCATCGACTGCTCCTGGGCCAGACTGGATGAGACACCATTCGGGAAGATGCGAGGGCACCTGCGGCTTTTTCCCTTTAGGGCCCCTGCGGCTTCTGCCCTACCTGGTGGCCGCCAACCCGGTGAACTACGGCCGGCCCTGCAGACTGTCCTGCGTGGAAGCTTTCGCTGCCACCTTGTGCATTGTAGGTGAGTTGTGGCCTGGTGCCAGTGGGCCTGGCAGCCTGTGTCCCCACCAGCGTCTTCTGCTGAGACCCAGGAGCCCGAGGGGTGACGGGAAGGCGTTCTGTCCCAGACCGCACTCCCAGCACCTGCTCACAGGCTTGACCTGGTGCAGCTGAGGCCGAGGCAGCGTGGCTGGCTGCCCCCACCCCCCACCCCCACCCCGGAGCTGCTGCTCTGCTCCCGGGAGTGCTGCGAGTCTTCAGACGATCTGGAGCCCAGGTGGAGATCCCGGAGACCGGGGGTGTTTGCGTTTCTCAGCAGAGGAGGAAGACATGGGGGCTGCAGCCAGAGAGGCAGACCCCTCGGTTACTCACAGCAATCCCCTAGCCCCTACTGTGGCCTGGACACTAGGGGCTGCCCATGTCTCCAGATGTTCGTGTCCCTCACCCTCAGGCTTCTCGGACCTTGCCACCCTTGTGCTGCAGAAGTTCAAGTGGGGCGAGGGCTTCTTGGACCTGAACCGCCAGGTCCTGGCCAGGTACGCAGCCTGCAGCAGCCCGGAGGAGGTGCTCCAGGTAGAGAAGGCATCACTGGCCA